TCTTTCTGAGTAAATAAGTACTTCAAACTCGTGTGGTCAGTGAAGACCTAAAACTTTACTCCATAGAGATAACATCTCCATCTTTAGAGCAAATATCACCAGTTGCCAGTTCTAAGTCATGAGTGGGGTAATTTCGTTTATGTGGCTTAAATTGGCGAGTTGCATAGGCTAAAACGTGTCCACCTCGCATCAAGACACAACCAAGTCCACTCCTCGATGCGTCAGAATATACCTCATATGGCTCATCACTATTGGGTATCGTCAGAATTGGTGCACTTGTCAGTCTTACCTTCAGTTCTTGGAAAGCATCTTCGCATTCAATGTCCCATTCGAATCTGATTTCTTTCTTAGTCAACCGAGTCATCGGTGCAGTAATGCTTGAGAAGTCTTTTACGAAACGTCGATAGTATCCTGCTAGTCCGAGGAAACTTCGAATCTCTGCTACATTCTTCGGCCTTTCCCACTGTAACACTATCTCAATCTTTGAAGGATCCACCAAAATTCCTTGTCCTAATATCACCTGTGCAAGGAACTTCACTTCCGTCAGCTAGAAGTCACACTTCTCTTTCTTTGCATACAACTGGTGTTCACGAAGAGTTTAAAGAACAATTCTCGAATGATGCTTATGTTCTTCCCAAGTATTTGAGTAAACTAGAATGTCATCAATGAAGACAATCACAAACTGATCAAAGTAAGACCGAAGGACTCGGTTCATTAAATCCATGAATGCAGCTGGGGCATTCCTTAACCCAAAAGGCATCACTAGAAACTCAAAATGTCCATACCGGGTTCTAAAAGCAGCTTTCGGGATGTCTTCCTCCTTAATTTTAAGTTGATGATATCCATACCTCAAGTCAATTTTAGAGTAATACTCTGATCCATCCAACTGATTGAATAGCTCATCGATTCTTGGCAATGGGTATTTATTCTTCACAGTTACTCTATTCAATTGACGATAATCAATACACAACCGCGTGCTTCTTCACAAATAACACAGGTGTACCCCATGGGGAATTGTTAATCCTGATATACCCTTTTTCTGCTAACTCACTGAGCTGTTTCTTTAATTCTTTTATTTCAGCAGGTGTCATTCGAAGGGAGGATAGAAATAGGTGACGTTCCCAGAATCAAATCAATACTGAATTCACTCTCACGATTTGGTGGTAACCCAGGTAACTCATTAGGAAATACATTTATGAATTCATCCACCACAAGAATTCTTGTACTATCTCCTATTACAGTAGGTTCACTTTCTAAAGCAAGAAGGAAAGAAAAGCAGGCTATGTTCCTACGTCCCCCAACGTTGTATCTCAACAGTCATTCTTCTAGGGCTGGGCTCATGTCTGCTTGATAAGTGATTATCGCTCCAGAATTAGTCATCAAAGTTACTCTCCTACGGTAGCAATCAATAATTGCCATATATTTTGATAGCCAATCCATTCCGAGCACTATGTCAAACAGACTCATCGAAAGGATAATTAAATGCGCTCTCAATCGCTCACCTCCAATCATGATTTCACATGATCTACATATACTAATTACCTCTGCACATCCCAGTGGGGAGTTCAACATCATCGTAGTTTCTAAGTTCTCAGATTTCAATTTCAATATGTAAACAAAAGAACTTGATATAAAAGAATGAGTAGCACCAGTAGCAAACAACACTCGTGCTAAAGAGTGGAAGATTAGAATCATACCCTTAACAACAGTGTTGTTGGCTTGACCTCAAGAACTGCCTCTGGTCAAGGTATAAACTTGTCCATGAGCTTTCCCTTTCCCTGTATCACTAATATTAGGCCTCTAAGTCCCTGGCCTCTATTGTTGTGGTAGAGGTATCTGCACCGATCCTGACGCTTGAGGTCAAAATTGTGGATAATACGTCAGTCGGTATGTTGGCACAGGAGAAAATGACATTGGTGCTGGCAGCCGTGGTTGGTAAGGTGGCACAAACTACGGTGGCCTCTCTTGACTGTAGGAAGTGCCACTTTGGGTCTGTTGTGTCGGTGGCCGATTCTGATTAGGATAATTCCTCCTAATGTGACCAATCTGTCCACAGTGATGGTACTTAGGTCTATAAGGACCACTCATGTCGCTTCTAGAAGAACTACTTCCCCCACTAATCATTTCTCCACTAATCTACCGCTGATTACGGTTCCTTCTACCACTCTGTTGTGGCCCGCCTGAAGCAAAAGGCCCACCTAAAATAGAAACTCAGCCAGCTACTTCCTTGCTTTGGTGATAGGCTAGGTTATCTTGTTCCACGCTTGTAGCAGCAGCCACCAATTTTCAGAAATTTTGAATCCCTAGAGCCACCAATGGTCTTCTTACAGAATTCTTAAGACCTTATCAAATTTAAGGCTTTTCAAATGCTTAGACTCCACCAGAGATGGCGCAAACCGGGATAAGTCATTAAACTTAGCCTGGTATTCCCTTACTGACATATCACCTTGTTGTAAGGACATAAACTCCATTGCCTTTTCATCCTGAGAACTCTGAGGGAAGTATTCTTCATTAAAGAGGGCTTCAAACTGATCCCACTTCATTCCCGTAACATCACGCCTTCTCCTCACTTGCTTCCACCAAGTATTCACATAGTCTTCCAGGGTATATGATGCGATAAAATTAACACTAGCAAGTGCACCAATCGTTCAAGTAATAAAGTGATGAGTAAGATATCGTTTCCCAATGAGGATTGGTAAAATTCACAAATAAAAGGATTAAACCGACTATGTTATTCGAGATTGCGAAATTGGGAGTAATGTGAATTAAAACTAAGTAAAGATTAAAAATTAGAAAAAGTAAAGAAACAAGATTTAAGAAAGAAATACAATGAGAGAAAATGTTAGAGAGTTGATTTCACCTACACCAATTCATCCATAAGCTCAAAAGAATGAATTTCAATTATTATTATCCATGACATGGTAGAATTCCCTAATGTTTAATTATCCATATTTCGGGTCTAATAAACTATCACATATATTCTTAACTTCAAATATCCTTATTTCAGGTTTATTCTAGATTAATTCAATATGAGATGCCTTAGAATTTGTGGAATCCTTTTTCGGTTAAATCTCCCTCTCGGTTACAATTTAAACTGACCACATGAATTTCTTTAAATCCCTATTTGGTTACTCCTCGTCCATTCATGGCATGTTCTATATTTTGCTTGAATATTATTCACATCCAAGATTCAATTCACAATTTAATGTTTCCTATCACATAGCTTCTCTATCCGAAACATCACTATGATCAATTCCCAAATTAAATAAATGAAAAGCCCTAAGAACAATAGAACACACTCTTCACGGAAAAATAATCAATTGCAACTCATTCAAATTGAAACTTAGAAATCATAGGTTCGGATCCATCAATCTCTAACTAAAAGTATTAAGCCATAATGAAATTAAATAAACCAAAGACAAATCTGGAAGACATCACCATATAAAATATGAAAGAAGAAAAGAAGAACAAAGGATAAATCACTTGATGGCCGAATGTTTCTCCACCAAGAATCAGCCAATACTTCTCAGCAATACATCTCCGTGAATCTTCCTGAAAAACTCTCTGGAATCTCCCCGGAATTCCAGCCAAAAATCTCTGTTTTTCCCTCTGGAATATCTCCCCAGAAATCCCCTGGAATATCCCGGATCTTCCTCTCGTTTTCATTTTCAAACTCTCCCTCGAGATAGGGTTTTCTCCACAGAAATTGCAACTCTCTATCCTCTCCAAATCCTCCCCAATTCCAGCGTGCAACCAGAGGAAGTAATACCATATGGCTGGGAGCTGAAACACACTGTCGTTTGGCTGGAATTAATCTCCTCCTCCGTGTGTGGGCTTAATGGGCTGGAATTTGGGCCTTTGCTTTGTGGGCTTTTAAGGGTAATCTGTGGTAGATTATCATGCTTGCATTCATCCTGCAAAATTAGATTAAGAAGACATCAATTTGTCAACAAAACACCTTAAAACTAGCTAATATTAAACTTGCAAGAGCTTAATAAATCGATATAAAACCAACTCATCAGTATACACCACGAATTCCACCTAGTATTCCTCTGGTATTCCCATGGTATTCAGGTGCTTTACTAAGGATTCAAACCAGTATTCCACCTCCTGCAATAACATGGTTGAGTGGGTGGTAGATTCAGGAGCTTCCTTCCGCATCACTCCTAGTATAGAGATGTTTACCACTTACAAAGCAGGGGACTTTGGTAACGTGAAGATGGAAAATTCTGCATGCTCTAAGATTGTCGTAATTAGATATGTAAGTATTCAGACGAATGTTGGTTGCCAGATGACATTAAAAGGTGTGAGGCATGCTCCATATTTGCACCTCAATTTGATCTCGGTAAATGCCTTAGATGAGCATGTTGGGAATGATGTCCTAAAAGCATGAGATGTAGTATGATATTTATTATTTATTTAACAAAAAAGTTTATTCATTATTTTTTGTGCATATATTAATGAATATTTTATAAACATCAGTAAAAATTCTATAATTATTTATGTGACCTTAAATCAAGGTATTAAGCAGCGCTAACCTTAGAGACATACGTACGTGCTGCAAATCACGAACCGATGTTACGTAAAGAGAACAAAAAAGGAGAAAAAATCTGAGAACAAAAATGTAGTGATGCTAGCGGTATTTTTTCTCTCACTATTTACATTCACTGTTTGACACTTAAATGTAATTAATATGACATATTACTATTTAAATAAAAAAATTAAATACTGAAACTCACATTTCAAACAACAAATGCAAAGAAGGACAAAAAGAATTATATATGCTACCATTTCTCAAATTTTAATTAAAATTATTATAGCATATTGGCATTTATGACAAATAATTTGCCAATTTAAAGATCACGTACAGTAACTGTTCACCATCATATATAATCCAGGGTATAGCATGAAAATATAATACATATATATAATTATTTACTTTAACACAAGAAGTCTATTTTTGAGACGAATTGAATTCAACAACGAAAAATCATCATTAATCAATCAACAAAAGGATTATCAACCAAGATCTTTTTCATTTCGGAAATCATATCCGAGATATATTTCTCTTGGACATCTTTTTCTTGCAAAAACTTATGCCACTTCTTTTGGTTCGATCGTATTGACTTGCCGGGTTCCTTTTCAATCTCAGTCATAATCGTTTGCACAGCTGCAAAAATGTCTTCTTTCCCAAAATACCCATCTCGGTCTCTCCTGTTCACCTCAATCCCAGCCTTCATAATCCCATTCTCACACATGAGCATAGAGTTAAAAAATTGGTCACCTTGTAAAGGCAAAAGCACCAATTGACAATCATTCACAAGACCTTCTATCAAAGAGCTAAACCCTGCGTGACAAAGATAGCAACCAACGCTGTTATGTCTTAAGATAAGTTGTTGTGGGACCCACCCTACATGAACAATACCCATATCCTTTGTTCTTTCGAAAAAGCCTATTGGTAATGCGTGTTCCAGCTCGGTCTTGGCGTTGACTTTTGCCGGAAAATGCAACACCAATAAAAATGGCAAACCTGTAAGCTCCAACCCTAGAGCTACTTCTCTTATTTGTTCTTGGTTGAGAACCGCTTCGCTTCCAAAAGAGCAAAAGATGACCGATTTCGATGGAAACTGAGCCAACCATTTATCCCATTTTGCGTCAAGTTTTTCAGATGGTGGCTGGGGGACGAGGGGACCGGTTACGATGAAAGGTTTGTTTAGCTGAGATTTCATGAAATCTAGATATGGACCTTCCATTTCAAAACAAGACTTTATAACGACAGCAGTTGAACCACTCAAGCCTCCTTGAAATCTATCATAAATACTTGCATTCTCACTGATCTTGCTCTTGTACACGAATAAAATGTTCTGAGCTTCAAATGTTTTTATCAGATCACTTGAGGAATCAGCGACGTTAACGTTGTTACGCCCAAACCTCACAAGATATCATCAAGCGTGGAGTCGCTAAGTTAATTAGTTGAATAAATAAAAATTTGCAAATTAAATTAACATTAAAATGAAACTAAAAGAATTGGAAAAAAAAAAAACTGATGATCTATTTTTTAAAATTAAATTTGAGTATCTTCTTTCGTGCTCAAGTGTTTTGTGTAACAAAATTTATGACTGGCAATTATACTGATAATCAATATATAATTCTATCATAATACTGAATACTTAAATTTTTTTATGATTATAATGATGTATCATATTTTGTGATATTAAACTTCCATCTCCTATCATCTTTAACTTGGATTAAATATGATAAATTAATTTCGTATCAATTCATGTCTTTGCATCGTTCAGTTATCTAAAATTAGAATCATTTATACAAATCAATTGTCGAATTTCATTGATTTGAAAGATGGTTCATTTTTTTTTTTTTGGGTTACCCCATTTTTAGTCCTTGAACTATGGTCAAACTTGATTTTGGTACCCGATATTTTAAAACGTCCCAAAATGAATCCTGGGGTTTTTAAATTGTCTCAAATCAGTTATTTGGTCCATCCAACTGTTAAGATTATTTTAGACAATTTAGAATCTCAACTATTAAAATTTTCCGAAACGAATCCTTGATCTATCAAATTGTTATTTGTGTTTTTTTGGTCAAGACTTTAATATTTGGATTCATAATTAATAGTATTTCGGGACAAACTAAGGACATAATTCATGATGTTTTTGAAAGTCATATTTGTCCTATAGTTCGGGGATTAAAACTGATATTATCACAATGTTTTCCGAGGAGAGTTGATGAAATAGCAACATGACCGTAATATCAACGTCTCCTAAAATTTGGAGTCCCAAAATGCAATATATACCAACCTCTTGGGGAACCCTTGTGGAGGTCTTCTAAGGTCGTCAACACTCGGGGGCCCTTCTATCCCGGTAAGCCGACCGGGGGCGAGGAGGTACGCGTTGGCAATGCCGGAGAATACTGAGAATAACATTGTCTTGATGCCGAGCTCAGAAGCTAGAGAGGGAAGCCAGTTTTGAGCGAAGTCAAGGAGTACAAAATCCGGTTTGAGCTCAGAAAGAAGGGCTTTTACTTGAGGTTGGATGAGATCAATGGCCACAACGAACTTGGGGGATACGGATGATGGAAAATCGAAAGTTCCGGCGATGTTTGGAGGGAATCCTAGAGATGGTGGGAGTTGGAGAGGGACGATTTGGGTGGTTGGAGATGGAATGAGTAGGTTTTGGATTCGAGGAATGAAACCAGGGATGGTGAAGAAAGAGATGCGAACTCCATGGGAGGAAAGCTTGTTGGAAAGTTGTATGAAAGGGCTAACATGACCAAATGCAAAGAAGGGAAACATCACAACGTGAAGCTGATCATCAGCCATGTTAATGTTCTTGGCTAATTTTCTGTGTGTGTGTGTGTGTGAATATAAGAGATTATAGTTGAAGTACTAGTTATTAAAGGTACCAATTCAGAAGCTAATAGTGCAGAAAAGGAGAGCTAATTATGTAGAATATGAATTAATTCAATGCCAAAATATATAGCATGAAGTTGATCACTTGTTTCGTGATGGTTTTCAATGGAGCCCATTATTGAAAGATTGGTTTTTTCAGTGGGCGCAGCCCATAGTTTTTGAAAAAGAAAAACCGTTCTGAAGGAAGAAAGAAAAAGAAGAAAAAAGAAGAGGCTCACACGGATCAAACGTGTTAATAACGCGTATGGGGGCTCTAAAAATTGAGCCCCTTAAGTTCAGTTTATGCAATTCCAGCAATAGAGAGAGCTAGTGAGAGTTTTTTTGTGTGCCTATAAAAGTATTTCTTTTTTTTGTGGAGAGATTGGTAGATTACCACACCGGGTGAGTGTGAGAGAAATAGTGATATTAGCACACCGGGTGAGTATAAGAGAAATAGTGAGATTACCACATTTGTGAATTTGAGAGAATTTTGTTGTTGAGAGTATTCCTCAAGTTGTTGCTAAAACTTGAGAGATTGTTGTATACCCATTATTATTATAGTAGGAGTTTTTCTTTGTGTGCGTTGTGGTTTTTCCATTTCCAATTGAAAGGCTTTCACGAGATAAAATTCTTGGTGTCCATTTTTATTTTTCCGAAAAAATTAGATCCTAAAGGGGAATTGGAATTTGTCCATATTCCCAACAACTGGTACGAGAGCAGCCTGGATTGGAGCCTTAATTAAGAGAGTAGATTTTGCCTGCGGAAAGCGGGAGTATTGTTCATGAATAAGTGAGGTTACTGTTCATGAATAAATAGCAACGGAACTGTTCCTGTAGCAAAATACGGTTACTGTAGCAACATGAAGGGCCAGAAGATCGAGATCAAGAAGTTCAGCGGGAGCGGCAATTTTTCCCTCTGGCAGAGGAGAATGAAGGATCTCCGTATTCAACAAAAGGTCCATAAGACTCTATTAGGCAAAGAGAATAAGCCTAGTATGGTTAAGGAGGAAGTTTGGGATTAGATGGACGTGATTACAGTCTCGAAGAATATCGAATCCAAAGAGTGCAAGACTGCTAAAGATTCCTGTGAGACTTTAGAAAAATTGTACATGTCAAAGAATCTTTTCAATAAGTTCTACTTGTAGAAGGAGCTGTACCGGATGTGAATGTCGGACAACGTAGATATGCTGCAACATTTGAGCAACTTCAATGGCATGATCTCAGAATTACTAAAGTTCAACGTGAAGTTCAGCGTTGAAGAGAAAGTTGTACTCATCATCGCGACACTCCCTTCATCGTACGATCACCTCATCACCACTCTTACTTACGGAGGAAAAGTTGGAGTATGAAGTTATTGCAAAAGCCTTGTTATCATTTGAGAAGCAGAACAAAGCACGAGGTGCGGATTCTCAAGGCTTTATTATAGAAAATAGGGGCAAAAGTCAAAACAGAGGAAGGAGGAACATGAATGACAAGTCCAGAGGAAAATCAAAATCTAAAAACAGAAATGATGGCCGTTATCATTGTGGAAAGTAGGACCACATGAAGAAGAATCATTGGATTTTGAAGCGAGAACTATAGTAAGCCAGTCCAAAGAAGAATGGTGGCAACAACAACATGATTACAGTAGCAGCCGTGGAAGAAGTAGTTGTAGTGCTTGTCGATGAATGTTTGCATGTCGGCAATAACATGGTTGAGTGGGTGGTAGATTCAGGAGCTTCCTTCCACATCACTCCTAGTACAGTGATGTTTACCACTTACAAAGCAGGGGCTTTGGTAACGTGAAGATGGAAACTTCTGCATGCTCTAAGATTTTCAAAATTAGAAATGTAAGTATTCAGACGAATGTTGGTTGCCAAATGACATTAAAAGGTGTGAGGCATGCTCCATATTTGCACCTCAATCTGATCTCAGTAAACGCCTTAGACGAGCATGTTAGGAATGATGTCCTATAAGCATGAGATATAATAGGATATTTACTATTTATTTAATAAAAGAGTTTATTTATTATTTTTTGTGCATATATTAATGAATATTTTATGAATACTAGTGAAAATTTCATGATTATGTATGTGATCTAAATATTGTATATAAGTGTTATATGCGAGAGGATAATATCTAAGGATAACAAACAAAACGATATTCGTAATGAATTTAATTAAAGTTCAAAATCTTTAATTAAAACACTATTAATACATGTCATTCCCATTTAGAATAGAACGGTGTTATCCGCACTATTAATATGGTGAGATATTGAATGAGTGTATTATGCATAATGAGATTACGTGGAACAGGGACACGGACACAATATAAATTTATGATAATTTCCGTTAAGTATAGAAATTTTAATTGAGTCTATCAATGGTCATATATAGAATGATATTAATCCTAAGTTCTTAGCAGAATCCTATTTATGGATTTGTGTTTTTTTATTTACTCGGTACGGATTCTGAGATCCTGAGTCATATTCCTCGTATTTTGGAGATATGATGAAGTAAGTAGCTGAGAATGTTAATATACGAGATGGAATCCATTCCTTCTTGAGAAAGAAATAGATAAATAATTCTCTTTAAGACTAATTCAGTACTTGGACCAGTAGAAACTCCAATTCATGAATTTTTTTTATGAGTCACTGTGCTTGCTTATCAATCATCATTTTCGTACCTCTAGCTTGAATTACTGTCTTATCTCTTTCATAAATATCTGAATCACTTCATCACTTGATACTATACGTAGCTACTCACAATAAAAAGCATTAACTAACAAAAATTTACAAAACTAAGATCATAATAAATTCTATTTTCTTAACTAAGCTAGCTTAAAGATTTTGAATCTTTCATTATCATATATATATATATATGGGCCATAAACAAACGGATTCGTATTGTGTCGTGTCGACACATTTAAAGTCCATATAATTAATAGGATTGGCAAGAATTTATCCATTTATTTTCGTCTTATTCTTGTCAAGTCATTAATGACCCATATAGTAAATGTATGGTCCACACCAATTTATTTTTTGTCATTTTCGCATCATGTCATCGCGTGTCGTGGTTTAAACAGAAAAAACGTACTCCTTCAACAGTCAATTAACACATGGCATTATATTGTTAAAATTTTAAAATGTTTAACATCTATAACATAGGTGTTGCTCAATCCGGCTGGCGGACTAGAGACAATACCATAATATATATATATATATATATAGTCTTCTAACTTGTGAGGCTTAAACTAATTTTTTTTCTTCTCCTATAATGTTATCTATATTTGTTTATTTGTATATCTTTTGAGTAAAAAACTCAACACGTGAATATTTGATAATAAACTCAATACGGTCTAAACCGGTTTATTTTTTTATCATTTTCAAATCATGTCGTCGCGTCATGTTTAAAATTATCGGCCCTATTGATACGCTTTCACTATTAAAAATTATCTAAAATTGTTTTAAAAACCAACAACTTCAACCATTTGTCTATTAACTCTGTATATGTATCCTTTATATAGTGTTATATTTTCATCTTATTTTTGTGTGTCTTGATTAACTATTTGGTTCTTTAACTACTCAAATACTCACAATCTTTCATAATTACTTGCCCTGCATTAAAAAAATACATTGTCGCAATTACTTAAAACGACAATAGATCTAAGTAATATGAACAACCATAATTCCAACAATGTACATACTACTACGTTAGTTGTACACTTGTCTCAAAAAAAGTCGCACATTTAAACCTGATTTATATATTGTCGTTAGTGTGTACTAGTTTGCTTACCTAAATTATGTTTTGGCATTATTAAATACATATTATATTACTTTTTTGCCCCTCAACTGAGTAAATTATAAGCTCCCTAGCTGACACTCCACTACAATTATATCCAGGTGTCGTGGTTTAAATAAAAAAAACTTACTCCTTCAACAATCAATTAACACATGGCATTATATTGTTAATTTTTTAAAATGTTTAACATCTATGACATAGATGTTGCTCCAGTCCGGCTGGCGGACTAGAGACAATACCTTAATATATATATAGTCTTCTAATTTGTGGGGCTTAAAACCTTTTTTTTTCTTCTTCTATAATGTTATCTATATTTGTTTATTTGTATATCTTTTGAGTGTAAAGCTAAACTATATATTTAAATATTGTTGTAGAAATTAGGATTGCACCCACAACTACAAGATAAAAGTAGCTTATCCTTACAAGAAAAAGCAGAGTAGTATGACCGTTGATCACATAACAAAACATAAAGTTAAAATACTATGTGCTAATTTTCTAATATATCCCAAAAATTTAAGTTTTTAGAAGATGGGCTAACTAATAATAGTTTTATACTTTAACACTCTCTTCACGTGTGAGTTGAATAATGGGCAATTGTGTAGATAAATTGACCGGAAAACTCAACACGTGAATATTTAATAATAGGTCCGAAACATATTAAAGACCCAACACGTGATAATAATTTAAATAAAGATAAATAGTGTAATTACGATGATTTGAGAACTCAGGATCTCCCGCTCTAATACCATGTTAGTTTACCAATCTATTCCAAAAATTTAAGCTATTAGGAGGTGAAACAACAATAATTTTATACTTTAACAATCCAATAGTAAAAATGATAAATTTTATTTCATTCCAAATTTAGGCCTTAAAAAATATTATGTCACTCTCCAAATTTAAATTTTCCCTTCCGTCCAATTCCGTAAAGATTTGGAATTGAACAGAAATATTTTAGAAATACCTCATACTTTTTGGTGCTTTTCTCAATGTACTAACGAATTTCAAAATGTTCCTACTCTCAAGCCTTCTCCTCCGATTTGTATAAAAACATAGAAAACACACTTTTGGTCACTTTCCAATTCCATCCAAATCTTAGACAGAAATGATCATCGGTGAAGCTCCGTAAATGGTAGTTGAGTTTTTCTCCAACAATTAATAACCCTCAATAAATTTGTGCCTACATACATGTAGAGATGTCAAATGGGCCGGGCCGTCCATGGACGGCCCAGCCCATAATAGTGCCGGGTTCAGCACGGCCC